TCTGGTATACTACTCCTCTTTATCCTTCATACCTTTTGTACAGTCTTTGATACAACTAGTCATGCTATCCTCTTGCAATGTCTCTCCTTCATTGTCCAGTTAAGACAGACTTCCTGGCCTGGTTCCACTTTCACCTATCCAGAGACACTTAAAGAATCTACTGCAATGCATGTTCTTCCCACCCCAATCTACAATGTCCCACATGCATGTATCCTTATTCTCTTTTATTTTAAAATATACTGTTCCTTGGCTACATCATCTGAAGTCATGGCACAGGTTCCATCTATACTCTGACCACACCCAATTTTACTTCACCATAATCTTTCTTAACTCCTCCACTATCTCATATTCAGGCTTGGATGACCCATAATTTCCTCCACTGGAAAGGGAAAAAAAAATCTTTAGCCCCAGATAGAGGCTCCATAACCATCAATTCCATTCCTCTATCCAATATCTCAGACTGAAACAGACTGTTTACAACCTCTGCATCTTATTCGACTCTTACATCTAAGTATCACACGCATGTCAGATAATTTCCCACAAGACCTTTCATCCATGTTGCTTTTACTTCCTGATTTGACAATGTTAACAGTGTCCTGATTCAATCTTCCACCTTTCAGATATTTGAGCTCATCCAAAATCCTGTGGCCCATAGGGTAACTTGCACCATCACACTCATCAGTCACCTCTATGCTCATTGTCTCCCAGTCTACCAATATCTGGATATATAAACGAAAATTTAAAGTTTTCATACAATGTCTACATCATTCCATGCAACTGACCTTTCTTCCCTCTGTAACCTTCTCCAGTCCCACAACTCTTGTGAAATCAAAATTCCTCCAATTCTGGTCTCGAGTGCATCCTCTACTTCCTGTCTCACCATTTGCAAGTGTGCCTTTGGCATAGACTTTAACTCAAACATTCCCTCTAAGCTTCTTTACCCCTTTCCCTCCATTAAAATATAGGATAGTTTAATTTTGAAAAAATTTTCATAATTATGAAGGGGATTGATATAATTGTTGCTGCTAAAAAAACAGGAGTTACAAATTAAACCTTTGAAGTAAGGGATTAGTTAGGTGGAAACTTTCATTCTAAAGGTAATCAACATATTGAGAAGCTACTGACTAAAGTCATTGAAATGAGCAACCCAAAGGGATTTAGGAGAAAATTGTACATGTTTCCAGGTGAGTTTCATGGTATGGAGGTCATCTGTAAAAAAGCGATGGGTCTTTTGATTCTAACCATTCTGATGGATAACTTGTTTTAATATTCTGTAAGCACTTAGATGCTGTCCTACTGAAACCACCTGTTTGAACACATCTCTGGGATGGTGGAACTTGAACCTAGACTTTCTGGTTTAGAGGTAGGAACACTACCACTATGCCACAAAAGGCCAGCTATCCCTCTGATATTGTCTTGGGGAATGGCCTTATTCCATGCTTCCTATCCCCCACATTATGCACAACAACATAATTTTACTAGTGGGAGATATAGATGCTGGAGTCAGAGACAACACGGTATGGAGCTGGGGGAACACAGCAGGCCAGGCAGCATCAGGGGAGCAGGAAAGT